GGGGAGAGGGGGAGGGGGGAGAGGGGGTGAGGACCTGGAGCTAATGAACGAATCATTTATAAGAAAAGTTGCCTGGGGGTCGGGTGGTGTGGTGGTAATTGACAGAGCAAATGTGAGTAAGACCTGGGCTGGGGCTAATGGGCTAATGAACAAACTGATTGTTTGGAAAGTTGCAGTTTACACTTCTCACTTCTGTACCAACACCTAACTTGTATTGCCGGGATCGGCGCCAAACCGAGGCTGTGACACTTTCAGTCGCATTGTTCTCTGATGACCAGGCGCATGGGCACGTCACTGCAAGATCAAGGCTTCGCGGGCAAAATTTTGTTACATGCAACTATTTTGACTGCTAATTTTTTTTTTTTTTTTGGGCTGCAAGGGGGCGCATGGTGTGGGGTGGGGGGGGGGGAGGGGGAGAGGGAAGAGGGGTTGATGATTGATTCAAGGTCCAAGGTAGGATGGTATATACTTCCGCTCAAGCCACCCGGGGTTGCTTACAATTTCTGTGCTTTTTGTACGGGGGAATGCGGAACTCACATGGGAGACACGATGTGAGCACAATCGTGATTGCAACCATTTGGAAGGCCGTTTTCCACTCGCCATATCTGCTAACCGCAGTAGCCTTCTGGGGGTGCTTATGTTTCCGGGGTGATTTGTGAGGGGGAATGCGGCATACTCACATGGGAGATGCAATGGCGAGCAACACCGTAATCAAAACCATTTGAGATGCCGTTTTCCATTTTCCATATTGGCTAACCGCAGTAGCCTTTGGGGGGGTAATTATTATTTTCAGGGCGTTTTGTAAGGGGGAATATGGTACTCACATGGGAGATCTAATGGCGAGCAACACCGTGATTGCAACCATTTGTGTGGCCGTTTTCCACTTGCCATATCCGCTAACCGCAGTAGCCTTCCTCAACTTCTCTCCCTCCCCTGCCGCCCATTCCCGGACTGCTGACATGGCAATTTCTCGGCCAATCATAGCAATCGCGGGGAGCGGGATTGTCCAGGATGGGAGGGCCCATGGGAGGAAGGGGATCACTGGCGGGGGTTCGGTGCAGAGAAGGACAAGTACTGCTGCCACCATTAGCTGTTAATGGAAGAAGGGTTGGTACGGGCCAAGGAGAAAACGGAATGAAGAGGGCAGGGAGGATGGAGGGAAAAAAGGGATGGTTGGGCGAGAGTGTGTGCCTATGTGTTGGGACACATATGATTGAAAGCTCATCTTATCAGCAATGGTCTTGTGACATATTCTCTGCGAGCTGCAAATATGTCGCTGAGAATATGTCACAAGACCGGATGGTTGGGCGAGAGTGTGTGCCTATGTGTTGGGCGAGAGTGTGTGCCTATGTGTTGGGCGAGAGTGTGTGCCTATGTGTTGGGACGCATATAATTGAAAGCTCATCTTATCAGCAATGGAATCCAAGAATGCCCCAGACGAGGAGCTGCAATTCATCTGCAATATGGATGCGTGTGTGTGTGCGTGCATGTGTGCGTGCATGTGTGCCACGCATGTGTGTGTGCCACGCATGTGTGTGTGCCACGCATGTGTGTGTGCCACGCATGTGTGCCACGCATGTGTGCGTGCCACGCATGTGTGTGTGTGTGCCTATCGGTGCTCTAACATCCACATAGTTCGCAGCTCACCTTATCCGCAACAGGGTCCAAGAATGCCCCAAACGAGGAGCTGCAATTCATCTGCAGCATCGTCCCCACAGTCAACATCAGCCCCGCAGGCAACATCAGCCCCACAGGCAACATCAGCCCCACAGGCAGCATCAGCCCCACAGGCAGCATCAGCCCCACAGGCAGCATCAGCCCCACAGGCAGCATCAGCCCCACAGGCAGCATCAGCCCCACAGGCAGCATCAGCCCCACAGTCAACACAACAGCCCAGTACGAGAGAATGCATGCACAGGAGGAGACAGCATGAACACGAGGGTATGTGTGAATGGGAAGACAGAAATAGTGTGAGAGCATGTGTGCATTGCAGGCAGCATGGGTGCGAAGATACGCGAGGATGGGAGACAGCAACTGTACACGGGCATATGAGAATGCGAGGGAGAACACACGGGCATGCGAGGATGCATGAGGAAGAGAAAAAAAAAAAAAAAAAACGACAAAATGTGAGAGAAAGCTGTAGCGTGAAAGCGAGAGTGTGATGATGGAGGAAGAGGGATCACAGGGCAAGAAGAAAAGCAGGAAGGGAGGGAAGCGGGGGTAGTGGGGGGTTGGGGGGGGGGGGGGGGGGGAGAGGGAATGGGGGAAAGAAGAAAACAAGGCGACGAACGGCTAGACCACCCTAAATGCAGCAAAACTAGCAGGGGATAGAAGCACCAACGGGGTAACCATGTTACGCACTTTTCGAGCCAGATATCCGTCCAGCCAATCAGTGATTGAGGCCATGATGAAAATGGCGGTGGCGATTCCTGGCGTGAAGAAGAACGCTGGAAGGGATGGAAGAAGAACGAGAGGGGGGAGCAACGGGAGCAAGGAAGGAACAACGGGAGGCAATCAGTGATCGAGGCCGCGATGAAAATGGCGGTGGCGATTCCCGGCGTGAAGAAGAACGAGGAACGGACGGAGGAAGGGACGGAAGAAGGTGGAAGGGACGGAGGCACGATAGGGAAGGAAAACAGGACAACGGGAGGAAGGAACAACGGGAGGTAGGAACAACGGGAGGTAGGAACAACGGGAGGTAGGAACAACGGGAGGTAGGAACAACGGGAGGTAGGAACAACGGGAGGTAGGAACAACGGGAGGTAGGAACAACGGGAGGTAGGAACAACGGGAGGTAGGAACAACGGGAGGTAGGAACAACGGGAGGTAGGAACAACGGGAGGTAGGAACAACGGGAGGTAGGAACAACGGGAGGTAGGAACAACGGGAGGTAGGAACAACGGGAGGTAGGAACAACGGGAGGTAGGAACAACGGGAGGTAGGAACAACGGGAGCAATGGGGAGAAGGAACATGAAATCCGCGTGCATTGAGGTCGTTTTTGAGGCGCCTCAAAAACGGGAGCAATGGGGAGAAGGAACTTTTTTTTTTTTTTTTGAGGCGCCTCAAAACCGCGAGACATGAGACGACTTTTGAGGCGCCTCAAAAAAGGTAGGAACACAGGAACAACAACGGGAGAAGGAACAACGGGAGAAGGAACAACGGGAGAAGGAACAACGGGAGAAGGAACAACGGGAGAAGGAACAACGGGAGAAGGAACAACGGGAGGAAGGAACAATGGGAGCAAGGAATAGCAGTAGGTAGGGACAACTGGAGGAAGCGACAATTCGGGAAACGGACAACAGGAGCAACGGACAACTTCGGTAGATATACACATAGATACTCTCATTAAAAAATACTCCTGGATCGGTGATCACTGAACGTACCAGGAATTATGGCAGGTACTGCTACGACGCGAGCGATCGTTAAGATAGTCGGCAACGTCATCACCTCCTCCCTCTTTTTCTCCTCAGAAGCTCCTGAAGATCCCCCAGCTTTCCCGGCAACATCCCCACTGTCTCGGGCCGCGTCCGTCTGCTTCTCCTCTGGCGGTAAATCGCTTGTCGGGATCGTCGCTCCGTTTCCTCCGGCTGCGTTGACGGTCACGCCGCTGTAAACTTGACGGCTAGCCGTCAGCGGCTGGAAAAACGCAGCTTCGTCGCTGAGCTTGACTCTGACGCGGTTTCTCGGCCGTCCGTCTGCGTGACGGTGAAGGGACGAGAAAGGAAGGCTAACTGGCGAAGTAGGAAGGCGTTGCTCCAAAGCTTGTACGCACGGAGCTGCAGCCATGATCGGCGAAGACCGGGAGGTTGATGTGAAAGGCGACGACGAAAATGATGTAAATCTCGCGAGGAGGGACAGTCGTGGCGAAGGTCGCGAGCAGGATACAGAGACAGAAGAGGACGCAGGCGAAGAAGGCGGAGGCTGCGAAGGAAGCGAAAATCCTGGTAACCGGCTTGTGTTTTTCGCAAACACCAGGCTCTTCTCTGTAGGCTCGCTTACAAAACGGATGTCCGTTCGCGACGACGACCTGGCGAACGATCTGATCGCAACCGCACGGAATACAGACCCACTAGACAAGCTCTTGATCACGGGCAGAGACGAGGGAAGTGGAGGTGGTAGGGAAGAGGCAACGCGCCTGTATGTGGAGGTTGGAAGGCGGTGAACCTGTGGAGGAGCCATGGATTTATGGATCAGCAACGGTAAAACCTAGACGTGGCTGCCTTGCTGGTCGCTCGGCCATCACTGGTTAGGTGATGTGTCGGTGTCGGGACAAGCTTGATTTGGAACAAGGAAAATTTTGAGAGTTCTAGCTCGGTGGAATACGTTCGTGAACGTAACGTATTCGTGTCAACTCGGTTCCAGAAGGTAATGAGCGGTGACGGGTGTTCGGCATCCGCCCTCTCGCTGGAGCCATTTTTTCCCTTTCCCTGCTGTTGGAAATGGTTGCAGCAGTGTGGTGTTCCTGTCTGCAGCTCGCTGATTGGTTTGATACTTCAGGCGTTTCATGTTGAGTTTTGCGAAGCTCGTAACACATGCGGACGACAATTGGAATTCGTCAGGAGCACTTGCCCAGCCTCTCAGCTCCAACGCGACCAAAGTAAGTCCAGGGCTTTTGCGAAGAGCTTTGCGGAGGACTGTTACTCTGACAGAGCTGTTCGTTAACCAGAGCTGCTGTAATGCCGCCTGAACTACATCCAGCTGACCCTCGAGAGCTGCGACAGCAGCAATTGTTCGTGCGTGCCTCGAATGCGGTTCAGTTGGGTTCTTCACAGTTTAGCAGGGTTTCCACTTCTCACCGCTGTGGAACGCAACAAACCGAACAAAAACGGCCTTCAAGGCGAACCCCCTTCGCATTATGCAGGAAATAATTCCTATGAATTTTACTAGAGGAGCCATAACTACGAGATTACTTGCATTTTAGCCCGAGCTTAGCAGGAATATTGCTTGCTGCCGCTTTCAAGCGCTTATTTACTTCCTTGAGTGGTATAATCAGAAAACGATGGCCGGATCAAAGGCTCTGTTCGGGCTACTCGTGATTGCCACCCTTCTGGTGTGCTTGCTTCCTCCTAGCCTCGCTGCTGTACCTGCCGTTTTCAGCTCTAGCGTCAGGTATCGCACTTCATCTCTTCCAAGCTTTTCGTTTTTACCAGGATTGTATTCTTAAAGCCTTACGGATCGAATCGCCGTTTCAGTTCACGCGACAAACTTTTAGGGTTCCGCAGGTTGTCAGATCCGACCGATGCTGTGAGCTACGAGTCGGTTCAAGGATCCGCTCTTCCTTCCCTCCTGTTCGACCCTTCTCGCGATGTAAGAACACCCGTTTCACGATCTTGCGTTCTGGTCCAATCCAACCCATTTTGTTGGCCTGGTAATCCCGATCCGCGGATTGTTGACCAATGCCATTGGCGAGCTTCACTGATGTCGTCTAAAAATATCTCATAGGACGTATCATGCCGTCAACGCCTCCTTTTCTTCAATCAGTCAGTCACCCTCTCACTGGCGTATCTGACTCAGAAGCGGCCTTCTCCTAAATCCTCGTTTCCACATTTCCTAGTAGCTTCCAAGTCATCGACTGTCTTCTGAGTAGCACTAAGCTTCGCTCATAGGGCTATTTGATTCGTATCCGTCGGATTTGCTTCAAAATGTTGACACGTGTCCTGCACGCATGGATTTCCTGTTTTGTGTCCTTCTTTAGAACACTCGTTCGCTCTCGTGTACCTCCTCTCCCCTCCTCCTGTCGATCACAGGATTCGATCTTCTCGTCCTTCGCTGAGGAGAGGCCTGGCGTGGTCCTCGTGTTCCTGGGCAAGGAGGTTAGTCAGTCTTTGCTTTGTCTACATACATCACTACCTTAATAACTGTCATGTCAGTTTTCTCTCACCACGTTCACTTCATGCTCGTCCTTTTTTTTTTTTTGGAGCTGATCATGTTCTGCGTGCTAGCCATAGATACTTATTCTCTTGCCTCTGCTATGCTGTTTTGCAGATTCGAACCACCGACCTCTCGTCTCCAACTGGATCCGTTGAGCCTCTGAAGGTACACTCATAGTGCCGATAAAGATCATGGGGATGGGAGAAACGGTCGGGGAGAAAGGGGGAAGGTTATTTGGGAAATTGGGTGGAGTGTGAATGTGCGTCTGGGACGTGGGGAGGGGGAGGGGGGAAGGGGGGAGAATGGCCGTACATGGGGAAACAGGGTCGCTGGGTTGGAAAGTGGGGGGGGTGGAGTTTGCAGTTCCCTTCACATGCTCTCACGCAGATGCCGGATGGCCACTTCCCTCCATCTTCTGTTCGCTCTTCGCCCTCTCTCCCCGCTCCCCGCCTTCTCCTTGCTCCTTTCGAAACTTGTTGACTTTTCTTATGTGTGCCTGCTCGCTCCCACTTTTCTCACGTCTGCACTTGCTGTCGTTTTCCCTCTTTCCCTCCTTTCCCCCATTCCGTTTTCTCCTGCTGTCCTCTCTTTGCCCCCTTACCTTCTTTACTCGTCCCTTAGCTTTTCTCCATTATTCTCTTTCCTCCTTTCCCTTCGCTTTTCCTAGAGTCCATTTCTCCTTTCTTCCCTTTTCTCCCTTCCCTCTTTTTTCCCATTCCTGTTTTTTCTTCCTCCCTTCCGTTTCCCCCCCTGGGTTTTCCCCCCCCCCCTCGTTTTCTCCTTTCCTCTGTACCCGTCTTTTCTCCCGCCCCTTTTTTCCTCCCTTCCTTCTTTTCTCCCTGCCCTTCCTCACTCCCTTCCCTTTTCAGGCACTCCTCTCCCAGTCCGCGTCCTCCAAGGTCTTCCCCTATGTGCAGCCACTCGCCCACGCCGACTCTGCTCACGCACTGGACTCCCTGCTCTCCTCCTTCGCCTCGCTGGCCTATGCGGGCCATGCTGCAGTCAGTGCTTCATGTGGGCCCGTCTCCCGTGCGGGGATCCAACGCTTCAGTGGTGAAGACTCGCTCAAGGTACGTGCGTGGCTGTGTGAAGGGTGGGGTAATATAGTGGATTGCGCAGGCATTTCCTCACTGACCTATGCTGGACACGCTGCAGTCAGCGCCTCATGGGACCCTGTCTTTTGTATCGGAGCTTTAAGTTCTGAGAAGGAAGAACCTTACTGGGTTGTTGTTGGTGGTCCGTCTGGTTGTGATCATTTTGATTTGAGAGTAAAAAGTTACCTAGGGTAGCTGGTCTGTGCTGCAAGGCTCCGGCTCCTGTTGGTTTGTTTTGTTCTGTGTGGGCCCGTGACCCGTCCAACCCTCATGTTATAATATGCCCTGATGACACTTTGCGGCATTGTGTGCTCCTTCCTCCCTTGCGCATCTCCCCATCTCCCCTCGTGCATGTCCGTCTGTGCAGGACCTTCTGAGCAACCGTGCCAGCGTGAGGGCAGCAAGGGAGCTGGACATGGTGCTCTATCGCCCGGATGGCCCTGTGGGCGCTGCAATTGCTCTCTGTTTTTAGCTAATTGTGTGCTTTCTCCTTATCATTGTGCCACTCCTCTTGTGAACGTCCCCCCATTCAGGACCTTCTGAATAACCGTGCCAGTGTGAGGGCAGCAAGGGAGCTGGACATGGTGCTCTATTGCTCGGATGGCCTTGCAAGCGCTGACTCACACGACGATGCTGTTGCAGCAGAAAGTGAGAGCACCTTCTTTCACCGCACTGCTTCACATCGCACAACCCTTACACCTCATTCCCTCACCTGGAACTCCTTCCCACCGCACTCCACTCCCTCAGAGAGGTGCCCGTTTGCTTCAAGTCTTCTTGTTAACCCTCTGATTCCATCGTCCCACAGCTATTGACCTCTCCTTTCTGGCCTCCGTCATCCAATTCATCGCCCCCAACCATGCTCACTTCTGCACCACACTCCTGCACTCCCTCACACTGCACTTCCTCCCACTGCACTTCCTCGATCTGCAGTCCTGTCTGGCTCCCCTCTAGTCTATGCTTTCCATTATGACGTCCCTCATCAAGGCCATCACCCCCAACTACGCTCTCTTCTACACCGCACTCCCTCACACTGCCTCCTTTTTCTGTTTCCCGCCTCTGATCTCCTCTCCCAGCTGCTGAGCTTTCCACTCTGGCAACCCTCGTCAGCGCAATCACCCCCAACTATGCTCTATTCTACACCGCACTCCCCGACGCCGACGTGGGAGCGCAGAGGCGCCTCCTTGCTGCTGCTGACGACTATCCTGCCCCCGGCACTGGCGCTGCTGATGCTGCTGATGCTGCTGCTGCAGGCGGTGGTGCTGGTTTTGATGCGATTGGTGCCGGTGCAGAGGGCGTGGAGGGGCAGGGTGTGGCTGGGGAGGTGGTGGCGGCAGAGAAGAAGAAGCAGAAGTGTGGGCCGACGTGCAAGACCCGTACCGCTCTCCTTGAAGGCATCTTTGTTGTGAGTTTGCCTTTTTTTTTGCCCTGACTTATCAAAAACTAGTTTTAAGATGTCTCAAAACGTGCAAGACCCGTACTGCTCTCCTTGAAGGCACCTTTGCTGTGAATTTGTCACTCTGCTTCGTTTCGTTTTGTTTCTATTTTCCGTTTCACCTCACCTTACTTCCCTGGAGTGGACTGTTCTTGTGGTCATATTTCCGTCTGACCTTGTCTTCCGGTGCACTTCCGTGTTTCATTGTCTTCCTTGTCTTCAGGGCATTGTGATGCTCATGATTCTTGTCTCAGGCCTCACAGTCCTCTCTCAGATTGATACCCCTACAAGGTTTGAGGTTTCCCGTGAAGCATCCTAATTTTGTGAGTCATCCTGAGTGCCTGATTGGCTTCTTCGAAAGAAGTGTGGTGTGGTTCTACTTAGGCATGAACATCAATAGTCTCGAATCAATAGCATAGCTTGTCATTGTTGCATGAACTCCATGGTTGGTAGTTTCAACTTTGACCAAGGTAGTTGCGCTTGCTAGTCTTTAGTGTGCCTGTCGGTCCATCCACGGTCTTGCAGAAGATTTTCTTTACTTTCAAGTTGTCAGTGATGCTACGGTACCAATTAGCGTATTGTGACATATTCCTGCACAATTTCGGAAGTTTTGCAACACATACAGAATACAGTACTGTTACCATGGGAAGTCTTCCGCCGCCGTTTCGCCGCCCCAAAGCAAGGCGACTGCGACACGAGAAAAACCAAAGAGAGAGGTTTGGATAAAGCAAACGAGTCACACGTCTGGTGCGGACGTGATGGAACATCCTTGACAAGCGATTCGCTGCGATGACCTGCTCCCATGTTCAAGTGGTTACGATACCGTGCGATCGAGTAGCGAAAGTCGTTCTACTTTCACTCCAGCCTCTTGCTGATTTGTTGAGATTCGGAACGTCAATTGTATGCGACGCAAGCGACTCCCGAACGTCGTCCAGAACAAAGCTCCCAAGCTTTCACGCCCAAATACTAGGTTCGGCATTTCCCCTTGCGCCCTCTCGCGCCATTCTCGCGCCTAACTTGCCCCTCGAGGCTCGGTAGACCATCAGCTGCCGCGGCGTGTCGATTTCGTACAGCTCCCAAACCAGCCCCTGTCAAACCAAGTGACGCCTGATTCTTCGAGCCTCGGCAGGCAGGTAAAACACAGCTTTCCCAAGCAGGACCTCCGGACGTAATTCCTAGCCTCGGTACCACCACTCTTCCCCTACCTCCGCTTAGTTCGAGACTTCAGCGCACCCTTCCGCCACATTCGGTGTGCGCCGAAACAGCGATGTATTTCGCTGGTGTTGCTGCGAAGTGAACTTGGCTCGCTGCTGCTTTTGCCCATCCTAGCGCTGCGCTGCTGTGCTTCTGCTCTTGGTCTACGTCATTCCACTCGCTTCTCCAGTGCATGAGAGCACGTCCTCCCGCAGCCAGCACAATTTCCAGTTAGGTTGCGACTTGCAGCACCCATCGCCATAACAGCAGCCCTTTTCTCAGCCAGACCTGCGACAGCGAGTACTGTATTGCATTTCATCGGGGCCCGCTGCGTCAAATACCTTCACCTCCTCACCCCCTTTTGTTCCACAGGGCGCAATAGCATACGATCTCAACACCTCCACCTGGAGAGAGGCACCTACTACCACAAAGCCCTTTCCTAATAGGTTCACGCAATGGCAACGGGTCCCACTTGCAGACGCCTACTTTCACTAAGTATCGGCAGCAGCCATTAATCTCCTCCAGTGTCGCTTCTTAGTCCTCGCCGTTTTAACGTGTTTCCTTAGTACCAGTGTCATTTTCCGCCTTTCCCTCCAGTCTGCAGCAATGGCCCGGACCGCCGCTTCCCACCTACCGCGTCTCTTCGCCCTTCTCTCCCTGCTTCTTCTCTCGTCGCCGATAGCGAACCAGCTCGTCTCCGCGCAACCCGTTGCGCCAGGTGCCGTGCGCGGGAAAGCCGCGCAACCCGCCCCAGCCGCAACGACGAAGTCGGCGGACCAGGACGCGATCGCGAAGAAGCGGTTACAGCTGTACCACGAAGTCGTGCAGGCGATTGCGTTTTCGCACGTCGCCAACGCGACAAACGGAACGATAATCTCCCTACCCTCGACGCCCGCGTCCGGGTCGACCATGGACCTAACCGTCCTCGATACTGCGTCGTTCGCTGCAAATGGTCTTCGTTATAAGGAGTTTTACTTACCGCCTGGGTTAAACGTTCCTACAACGGAGTCTCAGGTGGTGATACTGTACCAGAATTACCCTAATTTCACCGCGCCGTTCAAACCGCCGCAGGGTTACAGATACGCGGCTCAGTTCCTAGGCATGAGCGTGTACCCGTTTTCGATGATCAACAGCGCGACTCTTGTCGAACCACTGAATGTGACTGTAACGGATACAAACACTCCGATTGAGGTCTCGCTGACTTTGGACGTCTACTTTCCGGATTTCTACTTCTGCGTGACGTTTGACCCTGACGGCCTGCCGGTTAATTCTACAGTAACAACCGACAGGTCTCCCCCGCCGCCGTCGTCTACAACTCCCGTCACGGGCACCACCAACTACACCTGCAAATCTCCCGACCTAGGGGAATTTACCCTAGCAATCTCCCTCGAACCTCCTCCGCTGTCTCCTCCGCCTTCCCCCGCTCCGCCTCCCCCCGGTCCCTCCTCTCCGCCTTCCCCTTCCCCCGTTCCTACCCCCCTGCCCCCACCATCCCCCACACCGTCATCCAGCAACGACACTGTAGCACTCGCGGTGGGATTATCCATTGGGATTTTCTTCCTGCTGCTGGTTATGGGCTGCCTCGCGTGGGTGTTTTGGCGATCGCACCGGAAGGCGCGGCTTGAGCAAATGGAGCGCGAAGCGGAGAAGAAGCTGAATCTCGAGACAGCGCTGGTCGGCGGAAACCGCGCGCCAGCCGCCGGCGCGTCAAGGACGAAAGCGGTGATCGAATGGGAGGAATCGCTGCCGTCCATTGATGGGATCTAGCGGCTGCACGGACGGCTGTGATTCGGGCACTTCCGCATGCATCATCCACATGCAAGAGGGCAATGGGAGGGATCTAAGGGCTGCAAGAGGGCCGTGGCTTTCGTGCATCTACAAGCATTCACACGTATCCGCATGCTTCCACGCGCAAGAAGAGGTGGAGTGATTAGAAGTGGCAGCAGCCATGTAGGGATGAGTTGACTGGCAGGAGCTAATGCTGTGGATGGCAAGAGATTCCAGTGGCAGTGGAGAAGGTTCTTGGAAGGTGACTGCTGGCTTGGGAGGTGGCAGTGGAGGTGGGAGGTGGCACCAGCCTCTGTTGAAGGGATTTGTGGTGGTGTGGAGTGATGGTGGAATGGAGGGTAGAAATGATGGAGGGGGTGGTGCTGGATGGTGCTGCATGGTTTAGTTTGGTGCTGTGTGGGGCTGTGTGGCCATTGCATGCTGATACTGTTGGTGGTTGCTGGCTTCAGCGGCACAGCTGTTTCTGGAAACTGAAGGGGTGGTTGGTGGTGGGTATGGGGGAGGAGAAGCAGATGCAGGCAGGTGCAGTGGCAGCAGCAGAAGCTGCAGCACAGTTAGGATTGAAAGCCTAGGGGACCAGGGTTGATACAAGATAGGTATGGTAGATACAATCATGTAGTGGAATACTGGGCTATATAGCTGTGTCTTGTGTGAACGTCTATATTGTTTAACAGGTTGCTTTGTGGTGATGCTTTGCGAATTTTGTTGCATATTTTTCTGCATTCGGTAGGTACTGCGTAGTGATTACTTATGTGCCAGTGCTTACCTACGTACTGAGCCTCAGCATCTTTCACATGCCCAACTTGCGTGCATCCACTTACAGTGGTGTACTATATTTACTGATAGTGATTTCCCATAAGCAAGACACAACAAAGCTCTCATCGCGAATAGCGAGTAAAAAGTTGAGCCTATCGGGTTTGGCCGCCCCTCTGCCAACACCTCTGACAGGCTACGGTAACAGATTCAACACTCTTCGACCACGTCGCAGATGAGCTCGCCACCGCAATGGCGAAACTGATAATGGCGTCAGTGTCACTTTTTGTTCCTCCTATTCTGCCTGACTGACAACCCTGATTCTGGATTCCTGGTTTCTGCTTCTTTGAGTTCTGATGGATTCCTGAAACCCTGAACTTCCTGGTTTTTGCCTGAAAACAATCCCTAGGTCGTCGCTGTTTCTCTTGATTTCATGGGTGATTGTAGAAGCAGGCCATTATATGATAGTTGGTCCACATTTTTTAGGTTAATCGAGGACGTACTACAGCTTGCCGTTTTCAGAAGTGGCTGTTTCTGGATTGCGTCAGACATTGTGAGTCAGAACCGTGGAATAGTTAAGTCAATCGCAGCCAGCAATGTTGCATTGGCAAGCTCTGTAGCGTTGTAAGATCACATTTCCGGCAGTGATGCGGACAAACGAAGGATGGCGACCTCAACTCGCCGCAGGCCCGGATTCGTCAATCGCAAAACATCGCGAGCAGCCAAGGTGTTCGCCTGGCTGGTCGACCACGCTGACGAGTCGCAGGCGACGTTCGGCTGCGATCAATCGCCTGCAGGCGATCAAGCGCCGGCCGGCGTGCCTGATGAAGCAGAAAGGACGAATTTTCCGACGCAGGGAAAGCAAATGCTTCCAGAGACTACTCGAATTCAGACTCATGAGACCGAGCGCACGGAACCTCATGAAGCGCCGTTAGGCTTGCCTGATGACGCACAACGGACGAATTTTCCGACGCAGGGAAAGCAGCTGCTTCCAGAGACTACTCGAAAAGAGACACATGGGACCGAGCGCACGGATCCTCATGAAATTGGAATTCGGCAGACGCTACACTGTCAGAGCACAGAGTACAGGAATCGCCATGAGCTTATGCAGAGCACAGTCAGCACTGATCAGCTTTTGCAGGTTGACAATGCGATGTCCGTGGTGCTGAGGGAGATAGATAAGGGTCAAGTGGAACACAAGGAGGAGGGCAAGCTGCAAGGAATAGGGAGCAGGGCAGCGGGAACAGCGCACCAGGGACAAGAAGCGAAGGGTCAGGTATCGATGCAAGCGCCAGAGAGCAGAGCACTCGTGCAGACAGGTGCTAAATGCGCATCAGTCAACGAAGTGTTGCCTTCCGAAGCACAGGAAAATGCCAAAGAATCTCTGCTGGTCCGTGAGAAATTTCAAGAGCCAGGTGAAGGTTTGACGCCAGCTTGTGACAGCTTTCAAAATCCAAGTAAAGATTCGCTGCTGGTTTGTGAGAAATCTCAAAAACTAAGTGAAGATTCTCTGCTTCCATTGGACGTTCAGGAGCGAATCAATGCGAACCGGCTAGCAGCCATTCAGAGGCGAGCAGAGCGGCT